CTCCTTCTATCACAAATGTCGTCTTGCTCTAAAACACCTCTTATGGGTATCGGATGGCCTCTCCAACATCCAGGTATTGTCTCGTAAGGGATTATATCAGGTGTTAGTTGGGGTCTGTTCGTAATGAGTTGATTGATGAGCTCAGTCTTATGAAGCAGGAGGCTCACTCAATATGGCCTTGGGCACCTGGGTTGAAATGCCTTAATAACAACGAGGCATCACTCACCTGGCTGGTGATTTGTGCGGCCCTCTGGGCCATGAAAAGACTGTTCGGCATGCTTGGAGAAATCTCCAAACTGTTGTCACTGTAATGGGGAGGTCAAGACTCTAGGTCACACCTTCTTTCATTGCAGGGTCGTAACAACATTGTGCAAGTTTGTTGGAGGCCTCATGGTTCACACTCTGCAAGGAAGGTTCTTTGTCTTTGAGGCCTGTTCTGTTTGTAGCAATGTGGTGCTGCCGTTGACTAAAGCTGGACACTATGTGTTCTTTTGCTTGCTAGGGGTTATGAGAGTCATGATTTGGACGACACGCCAGGAGGCATTCTATGGAGGTGAACAGTTCACTTATTCCCAACTATCTTGTACTTTATAAGCATTAGCTTTAAGTCAAGATTAGGATGGAAAAGCAGTGGCTCTCTTCATCAGAATTTGGCAAAATGTAGGTGAATCTTGCGAATTTGTGTCAAGTGAAAGGGGCTGACTTGGAGTGGCACTTTCATGCTGGTTAAGCATCAGGATATTGTTCTCTCTGTGTTGAACATATATTAACTTAATCTCGGCAGGGGTTAGTCTAAGTTTGTTTTGGTTTCTTTAGTTTCTACATTTCAGTTAGCTAGGAGGCACAGTGGAGTAATGGATAGCGGCTCAGATTGAGGAATCGGAGAGCCAAATTCAAATTCCAGTCAGATCCATTACATTCACTTACATGCTAATACCCTTGGGAAAGGTATGAATCCTCTTCTCCCTCCAGCTATGGGTAAATAGCAGGACAGACCGGGTCCTCTAGCCTAGGATGGCAACTGGTCTACTGCAGAAAGAAATAGCAACCTACTATGGGGAAAAACCTGCCTCGTCAGTCATGTATTGAAAGATACGTGATTGCCTAAGTGACACATAACTGACAGACTAGCTAGGGTATGTATGCTCACTGACCTCTCATTTCTGTCCCCTTTTTTCTTTGGTTCAATTCCCATTCCCTTCTTTGTTATGTGGTTAGTGATGTCAGTTCTCTGGTGGATGCAGGGTGCCTTTTCGTTTCAGGTGTGTTTTTTGTATTTGTTGTTGTGTCTGAATGAGTACATATTTGTGTGAGTGCATGGGATGAATGAATGTTTTATATTATTATAGTCCCGCATTGATTCCGTCGAGTTAACTGATGTTTCTGCCACATTTAAGGAATGGTGGTGGTGTTTATTACTAACATTATTTTATTTAGTTTCCTGTAAATAAATTTGTGTTCATATTGTAAATACTCATTGGCACAGCACTACTTTTTTAAATTGTTGTTTTATTCCCCTCTCCCCACAGTCAGTGAATTGTACATATAGGATTTAGTTAGGACTTTTATGGAGACAATGAGGTATTATGATGGCTGTAGTAAGAAAGGTAAGTAAGAATGCATTGTTTTGGTGTAAGGAATATTGTTGTATGTTTGGGTCAGTGTTTGTAGCTAGCTAAGTTTAACGTTAAAACAGTTGAAAACCATCCTTTTCCCCCATTCCCCATTTTGACCTTGTACTATATTTTGTAAATAAATTACAAATAAATATCACTCTTCACTATGGTACATTGACTTTATGAATTTAAGCAAATACTAGGCTGGTGTCGAGATCTCATCAGTTTACAGTTGTGCTGGCTAAATGTAGCCATAAGTTCTATGCTAACATAGGTAACTCAATGAAATCACTAAAAAAAATAGCATAGCATGATGAAAAAGATGCCAAACTTGACAAAAACAAAATCTTATCGCCTAAATGTTCATGTTATTATTAAGAAGAAAGACCAAAGTTTTTTTTAATTATTTTTTAAAATTTTTTCTTTCTTTTTAGAACATTCTAAATTTTGATTTAAAAAACCTTGTTTCTCTTTGTATCACCGGAACTAGTAAAATAACATAGACAATTTTTTTTTTTGTTTGACACACATTAATTTGGAAAATCTTGCAAAAATAAAAAATAATTGTCGGATGTTAATAAAACTTTCAGAAACTATTTACAGATGATATTTTTTTTTATATTTATTACACCCCGACCATAACTAATTTTATGAAAACGTTAGAAATTCGATCACATCGGGTTTAGTGATTACAATAGTTAAAAGCAAAAGGCTTTGAAATGCAAATCATGTTTTTTTTGTTTTTAATTGGATCCGCACCACCTAAAAATCAGCTCTGAATTGTAACATACAAAACTCAATAAATATTATTTAATTTCAAATGCTTTTATGAATATAGACAATATTTTCTGAAAGCAAAAATTTTTTCAATGAAAAATGAATTTTTAATATGATTATTTGTTATTTCTTTGATAATAGATTTTTTCATTTAAGTTGTTAAAATATTATAAAATTAGTTAAAAGCCGCATCAGGTTTCCTCAAAAGTGTCCTTATGAGATAGATCTTTTTTTTTTATTTAAAATTGTATCATTTTGACTAATCAGAAGATCCGTGAGTAATTAAGAAATGTAATTTTTGTGTTTATAATCAGGCTGTAATTATAAAATACGGAAGACCTTTTCCAGAATACAATTAAGTTATGTTATTTAAGTTAAGCATTGTTCTCTGCTGTTAAGGCCTTTACTTTTGCAAAACACATGTGAAGAAGTTAATTTGATTTTTCAATTTCAACTGAGAAGTGTACCTACAAGTATCAGTATTATCTTATGAAATTTATATGATCCTATTTTTATATTAATCTCAGTTATGACATTTTTCCATAAATGAAATATCAAAATTAATAATAAAATGAATGGAAATACAAATAACACAGTAAAATGTAATAAATGTACATAAAATACTATAATTTTATGTACAATTCTGATAAAATTTCATAAGAAAGGTACCTATCAATTAATTAGATACATTTCTTATGAAATATGAAATTTAATTTCACTCTTAAGTCTTATTTTAATTTCTTTATAATATATTTTCCATAAAGCATCATAAATTAAAGGGAAAGCTAAGTACAGAAAAAAAAAAAAAATTAGAGCACTGAAAGTTTTCCTTAAAAATAACAAGGTAAATAATTTATTCACTTAAATCTAAATAACTTCAATTTTCGCCTTCCGTAGAACAAATTATGATCACGTAAATCCATCAATGCATCATTCAACACCAGTCAAGTGACAAGGTTATGACATGCTTTGTTTTATTTTCAAATTACATCTTTTCAGTGCAGAAGCTAAGTCAACCAGGGTTAAAAATATTTTAAATAAACATTATAATTTCTGATTTTCTTAAAATAAATTTTGAAAAAATGATTAAAATTGATTTTTAAAAGAATTTCAAAGTGAGATTTTTATCTTTTTTTATAAAATGGAAAAAAAATAATCGATTATCTGTCAATTTTGCTGACTCAAAAAAAGACAATATTTTTTAACTAAAATTTCGGACGTGCTTGGAACGATTAAAAAAAAAAAAAAACAACCCTAAAAATACTTTTGATCTTTCCTCTTAATAATAACATGAACATTTAGACGATAAAATTTTGTTTTTTGTTGTGGGATTTGGCGTTTTTTTTTTCAGCATGCTAATAATTTTTTTTAGCAATCTCATTTTTTTTCAAACCTATAACAGTTTCTTTTTCTCTCGTGTTTGAACTTGTGGAACTCCTTAAGGTTTTTCCAGCTAACTTTAATCTGAAAAAATTTAAATGCAATGTCAATCACTTTCTACTGTCCTCCTGATAACTCTTTTCTCTTTCTGCTCATTATTAATGTTTGTGTTCCTAATTCCTCCATAACCCTTGTGTTTTAGTGGCTGTACTTGTCTTGCTTGGGGTGTAGTGATGTCAAAAAATAAAAAAAATAAGAGGTGACGTTCTCTCTTCTCCCAGGGAAAAAATCCTCTCCCCCAAACATTTTCCCAGTTTCTTTCAATCTTAATAAACCCCTTGCGCCTTAGTGGCTTTATTGCCTTACTTAGGGTGAAATGATTTTTAAAAACGTGTGAATTTAAAAATATAGAGACTATTAGCACTTTGTGATTTTTATTACGCAATTACGACTGCGACTAAAAAGCAAAGTCAAATTGGAATAAAGACAGGTATAAAAAACAGTAAAAGAGAAATTTTTAAAAAGGCGAAACATCCACTTGTAATAAAAAAACTGAGTAACATGTGTTTTTCTTTTTCTGATAACTGACATAGAATTAAAATGGCAGGATTTGTGTAGTTGGGCAAAAAAATCAGGGTCCAGTTTTAGATTCAATTCACGCATAAGTGAACATTGGTAGTGAATTTTTAATGTTTCTCAAAACTCCTGAAATTATATTTTTATATCCGGACAAAGGCTAAAAAAAGGAAACGTCGTAAGAAAAATGCATTTTAAAGAAATCTTCTGAGTAACGGAATCTAAAGAAGTTCCTGCCACATATTGACAATTTTCGGATTTATTTTCGACATGGACTTACTGTGAACAATTCATTATTTTTATTTTTTAGGGAACTATTAAAAAACCATCTATCCATTATCTGTTTGCTTTGTGCTACAATTAAAAAACTGAGAAAATTACTCAAAACAACTTTATTTAAAATTTTGTTTTAGTTAAGGAATTTTCATGAAAAAAGAAAAGAATATTTAAGAGTACAACGTCCTATGAAAATAGGACAAAAAACATTAAAAAAATAATTTTGTTCAAAAGGTCGTTATTGTACCTTTTTTTTTTTACACAATTGTTGACGAGGAACATAGTATTATTTTATTCTAAATCAAATCAAAATGATGTTAATTTTTAAAACAATGTTGAAATCTGTCTATTCTCTAATGAATTATTATTACTTACCATATTTTTTGTTGTAAGACACTGATGAAAAATACTTTCTTAAACATATTACTCGACACCAAGCCGACAGCATGGTCACAGCCATGATGTTTACGTTTTTTAACACGGGAGTAAGCCTGGTGAACACCAGTTTCTTACATTTTCACTTAAACGGATGTCTTTTTTGTGTGTGTAGAGACATCTTTTAAATGTTAACATTATTATAATTTAATAAATCTTTCATATACTGCTGAAAAACAATTACCTAATATTTATAGGGACTTTTTAATTATAACAAAAATCACAATTAATCTCGTTAAAATACCCATGAAACCACGTTGTGACTAGAAAAAAATTGTAACTTTGGCTTGTGGATATACGTAAATATTTTCATTTAAAATAGATAATAATCTGTATCGCTATTATTCAGGGATATTTAATTGTAATGTATTATCTCCATCAGACAAGGCGTGCGTATACACTTTGAAAAAACAAAAAGTGATTCCTCGTTTAAAAAGTTTATTTTATTTTCAACTAATTTTTCAATTAAAATATGCTACTCGGTCTCAACTGTCAAATAATAATAATAATAAATTATGAATTTTAAAATTAAAATAATGAAGTACTTGAATTTTTTCTCACGTTCGAGTTATTTTTTAAAAAGCTTATTTGATATTTTTAAAAATTTAAGATTCGAAGAACTGTCCTTTCTGATTCTGCTGAAGTACCTCCACTTTCCTTCATGACGAAAATGGTCCTAAACTTTACTTTTTACTTTCAAAATGTTTGTTATTAAGAAGAGGAAACACCAAAGTATTTTCTTATTATTTACACTGCAAATTAACCTTTAAATAATCCCTTCTAGCATGTTCGAAATTTTGGTTAAAAATCTTGTTTTCTTTGCGTTTTTTTTCGAAATTTTGGTTAAAAAAATCTTGTTTTCAACGTGAGTGTCTTTTTTTAAAGCTTTTTTTCCGGTGAAAAACATTGGTTTTGAAACTCTTGCAAAAACCAAATAATTGTCGGAATTTTAATTAAACTTTCAAGGCATATTCACAAATGAATGATGATTTAAACATTTTTTTTTTAGAAAATCTTGGTAAAAAATATTTTTTTTACATACCCCAACTTACTTAATTTCATGAAATTCAATTTTTAGGACGGAAATTCTTTTTATTCGTTAAGAGCAAGACTCCTTGGAGAATGTAAATCATAATTTTTTTAATTTTTTTTTTTATAAAAACAAACCCATTCACCGAAAATCTGCTCTGAATTGTAAAATAAAAAAATGCATTAAAACTATTGTGAAGATCATCTTCATCATACATACATACATACATACATACATACTTATACAAATTATACAACAAGCATTCATTGGATAGTAAATCAACACTACTGTGTAATGCAACAATTTTATAATTGCTATATTTTCATGTAGTCGATTTTGTGCACTTTAGGGAGAATCAGATCCCAGAAGCTTTTCGTGAGTCTCCCCAAAGCTCGCTTGCTGATTGGTCAATGCCAACCAATCAGATTGTCTGCACATGAAGAGTGATTTCTCTCGTGCAGCGCTTTTGGAGCTGATTGTCGGAGTTACCTCCTCCTTCTATCCTTGAACCGGCAGAGGAACAGGTCATTTCGACCTTGACCTCTCATTCATGCTCCTTACACACTGTTAACACGTCGGAGGGACTAGCAAATCCCCTTTTTAGTTAGGTTGTATTACAAACCTAGTTGTAATATACTACTAGTCATTTTTAGACCTTAGTTCTCTTTAGCTAACCTCGTAGTATTTTATTATAGAGATTTTTCGGTTAGCTTAGCCAATTTCTCTTGCTGGTCTCCCTTGTCACAAGACAGTGATTTCTCGCTAGATTCAAGGAGGTGACCGAAACGGTCAGCTACACGCAGGCCCCTTGGCCTTCATTGGTCAAGGATGCCGATCAACGGGCTGTGTATTAAGTTACGCTCCCATTTTTTATTTTGTCTGCCAACTTGACGATAGTTGGGAACTTTCTCTCTCTCTCACTCTCCTTCCCAACACGTCAAGTTGGCATCCCGGCAATGACAAACAACAAGTTGGCAACATGAACTACAGCAACAAGTTGGCACCCCGGCAACGACAAACACGTCAAGTTGGCACGATCATCCTGGACAAACACGTCAAGTTGGCACCCTTCAACAGTTTCAACAACGATCATCCTGGCATCAACCAACATCAACTTCAACAACCACCAACGATCATCCTGGCAACAACCAACACCAACTTCAACCCCAACAACGATGATCCTAGCAACTACCAACACCAACCTCGACCATCAATGCCTACACTAAAACTTATGCACCTCCACCGTTCCCACCATCTTTATTTCCTTTTTCTTTCCCTGAATAAGTTAGCATTTATCATACATATCCTCGTTCTGTTGTCTATATTGTTTCACCGTCAGATTTAACGTCTTCAAAAATGTCAGCAGGCCTCTTGTGACCTCGTTCACCCCTTTCTGTGATACGGGGCCGCACACACCGCCCGCTACACTGATGATCACTTTTATAAACAAAGAAAATTCTTAGTAAATCAGTGAGATCTCAGCTGCCACAGAAATCCACAACAGTTGAAACCATGTGCCAATTCTTCTCACTCACACCACTACTGTACTCATATAATCTTTTTTCTTACACAGCAAAACTGTTGAAAACATTTATTACCAGAAATTATTACAACCTTATTGCTTTCATTGAACTTTTGGAACAATTGATAGTTAGAGACAACTCTTGTTTTTGCATACTTTTCTTTCACATCCTTGTTTGTACATCTTGTTAAATACAAATTTTATGTGTAATGATGTCTTTGGCTTATCTCTTTTCTTCACATCAGTTTGGTTTCCTAATCCTAATAGTTAAATAAATATGGTGAAGCCCGCCACACTATGACATAAAATATGTATTTAACAAGAGGTACAATATCAAACAACGATGTGAAAGAAAGCATGCATTTAAGTAAGAAAAAGTTGAATAAAACAAGAGTTGTCTCTGTTTAACTGTATTTTTAGTATTCCAAAGTTCACTGGAAGAATGCTTATGATGACTGTTCTCAGAAGATTTTGCTGTGTAAGAAAAGATTATGTGAGTGGTGTGTGTGAGTGAGAAGGTTGACGCATGGTTTCAACTGTTGTGGATTTGTTTGGCAGCTGAATTCTCACTATTAGCTAAGAAAGATTCTTGCTTATATAAATGACTATAGGCTCCAGATCGCTGTGCTGGAAAAGTTACTCTTCATGTGCAGTCGATCTGATTGGTTGGCATTGACCAGTCAGTGAGTGAGTTTTGAGGAGACTTAAGAAAACTTCAGTGATCCGTTTCTCCCAAAAATGCACAAAATTGACTCCATGAAAATAAAGGGATTACAAAATTGTCGCATTGCTGCAATTTGTAAATTGTTTATAACATAGTAGTGATTTATTAACCAATGAACACTTGTTGTTGTATGTGATTTGTATTTGTGTATGTATGTATATATTTGCAATATAGCTCAGCACAATCTCATAACAGCTCCCATTTGTAATTTTTATATATTTTTTTAAAAAAATTTTTTTAGTGTATAAGAATGTTTAAAATTTTGTAACTATGGTAATCCTTAAAAGGTCAAGTAAGTGTTAATCTGACACTGCAATTATTTCACTTTCATTATTCAGTTCTGTTTCATCATTTACGTCTTTCCAAATCATCCTTTCAAAATTTTAAAGTAAATTTTACTTTTTTTAATATTGTTTAGGGTATTTGGAAATAAAAGTTTAAATGATTACATAATTAATAATAAAATTTAAAGTACTAAAAGATTTCAATAATAAAATAACCATCAACAACTAGTGGGATCTGTAGAATTTCCACAGACCGACTAAATAGAATGTTGAGTAAACAATAAGCTTTACCTACATATATATATGTATAAAAATAACACATTGAAGGAGGAGCAATTACTGTGTTTTTAGGCCTCACTGTATACATTCTACTGATGATATTAGTATTCCTTTGTCTTCATGTCCATGTTTTAGTGTACTTAGTAAACACATAATACAGTGGAATGTCAGGGTACAAGTGGTTCCTTGCATCATCATCATTATGTTCATTCAGTTTAAACCATGCAGTGAGGGTAGTGTCACAGTCCATCTGTACCTGAGTAGCTTGCTGAGTGTTGCCTCTGTGAAAGTAAACTTCTTTGCTGGTCTTCAAGATGTATAGCAAGTCATTTGTGAAATGTGTCATGTAGTTTGAACATGAAAGTTTCCACATAGCTTATTAAGGCAAGCAAGATAATTAGTAAATTTCATTTTAAGCTTGATTCTGCTCACAATCAATGTTTATTTGGTTGTCTCTTAAAAGAAAACAGAAACACAGTTTTATCCCTTTAAAGCATATTTTGAAGATATATTTAATGCTTTTCATTGATGAACAAATTTTCAAAGCCTATTGAGACACATTGAAACACAGAATTGCAGTCCCAAAAAGATGAGTGGGTTTTCCCAGTAAGGGGAAGACAACCCTTAAAACACATAACTTTTTAACAATAATGAAATTTAGCGGCCACCATAAAAAATTTTCTGAGACCAATTTAATTTTTTGAAAATTTATGAAATTAATAAGTGGGTTGTAACATATGTAAAAAAAAAATTATGTTTAATACAATTTTCTTAAAAATTAAACATTAGATTTAAGATTAAATTCAAGGTTATCTTTCAAAACATTTTTGTTTCAAAACAACTCTAACAAAAAAAATTAATAAAAAAAGAAAAAGTAAAATAAAAACTAAAATAATTTTATGAAACAGGAGTTAAATATAAAATAATTTGAAAGGAAATTACAAAATGAAATGCAAATTAATTTCAAATAGAAATTTAATAAGAAAGATAAGTTAAAGTAAAAATCATTTTTTCTAGAATTAGAATTAGTTAAGTGAAACTAAAAATAGTAAGTAGGTTGTAACATATGTAAAAAAAAATATGTTTACTACAATCTTCTGAAAAACAAAGAACACAAAAATAATTTAATTCATTTCCAAATCAGTCCTGAAAGTTGCATTAAAATCTGACAATTATTTGACTTTTG